ACATATCAAAATATATAAACATGTACGAAACATTTTATTGGCCGCTGGTGCTTGGCTGCGGATCGTTGATGTCGTCATCTGAGGCAGCAGTTGGGGTTACCGGATTGGTTTTTTCATAAACATGGTGAGCTTTGTCTGAATTGTATGTTTCTTTTTTTCTTCATAAATTTCACGATACGGACAAAACACATCATGCGCCATCTGTTCAATCCCTGCAAATCGTTTGATGTTTGGGTCCATTGCTTCGAAATGTGTAAGAAGTTTATTGGGAGGGGTTTGATGAAAAATATCCAAGACACAAAAACAAATTGCTGTACCGAGTCTGGGATAACAGTTGAAATGGTGCACGCGGAGATGGTAGTGCTGCCAGAAGCTGGTCCGCACTGTCGTACACCCAACTGGGCAACGTTTGCGCTGCCAGACGCAGAGCAGTCGTGGCTAGCGATTGTGGTCCTAAAGTCGAATGGTCGTAAGTTGCATAGGTTGTAAGTCGATCAATACCTGTACAGTGGTGCTTTAATGGTGATTTTCTAGTTCTCTTCGTTACTCCTACAGCAATTAGTTGCAATTCCTCTCTAAGGAAGAGCTGTCCCTTCTCTCCCATTTATTTATTTATTTATTCAGTTGTTTATATTGCTATTAACTTACAGATATTAAGGTTTTCTCTGGTTTATAATAAAACACTATCACTATTTATTTTGTTGTTCAAACTGTTCCAGCTTTGGTCATTGGGTATTCTGTCAGGTTGGGTCCTGTGACTGTTTGACATGGCTTATTCCTTTTTGACCATGGCTGAGCATGGTAGGTCCTGCCTGCAATCCCAGAAATTTAGGAGGCTGGGGTTGGAGGTTTACTTGAGCCCAGGAGTTAGAGACCAGCCTGGGCAACATAGTAAGACTCTGTCTCTACAAATTTGTTTTAATTAGCCAGGCATGATGATGCATGTTTGTGTTCCACCTACCAGGGAGGATGAAGTGGAAAGATAGCTTGAGTCCTGGAGGTCGAAGCTGCAGTAAGCCATGACTGCGCCACTGCATTCTAGCCTGGGCAACAAAGAGAGGCCCTGTCTCTAACAAAACAAAACGCTCCCTTTTTGAACATTTCTTCACTTTTCAGCACTGAAAGATGCTCCAATCTTATCTCATATTTTCCCTGGCAGAGCCCTGGAACCTACCACTTCCATAGAATTCCTGTTTATTTCATCAGAAAATGATAGTCAGAATCCAAGACCTGGGCGCTGGGTATGCTCATTATCACTGAGGTGTCATTGCTTCTAGGCCCTCCCATTGAATGGAACTTGGAAACAGACATGTACACACATGTCTATGTGCATGTACACACACACACACACACACACACATGCGCACACACACACATACCCTCCCACACACATCTCTATATCTACCTTTAATTACTTTTCATGCCAAATCTCTGAGTTAAAGTGAAGTTTCAGGAAGGTAAGCCATATTTAACCCATGGCTGGCCTTACCTGTCCCAAAATCCAGCTCCATTCTAGTTTGTGCAGCAAAGGTTAGAGTTATGAGAATAAAGAAGTATCATTAATTCTACTGTTATAAACATTGGATGTAATGGAGAGGCCAAAAAACCCTAACTTCTGCACTGAACCACAGCAGTCCTGTGGTATCAGAAGCAAGGCCATCAGTCAACAAATAATGTCTGCTTGTATAAAATTGTCTATGTTAGATTTGTGCTTCTGGTGAAAATGGAGTAACAGGTTCCAGACTTACCCTCCCCCCTGCAACAACTAAAAAACTATTTATAACATAATGGTTTTCAATACAATGAAGATCCCACAATGAAGGACAGTGATTTCTGAGAAAGGGCAGCAAATAGGATGAGTCCAATGACTGTCCCAGCTTACTGTTGCAAGAGTTTCCAGGTCACAACAAAGGGAGGAGAAAACTAAACAGAGCCTGGCAGACTCCCTGAGTTGAGGAAATGGAGCTGAGAGTACAGAGACACCAAGGTAACCATAATTTGCAAGACAGATTAACAGAGAAGAGAGAGCTACACAGAGAACCACAGAAATCTGCAGAGGACCCCCCTCAAATATTCAGCAGAACAATGAAAAATGCATGTAAGGGAGAAAGTACTTGAGGCTAGGGAAAGAACCACCGAAAAGAATTAGATGAAAAAAATACCCAGTGCTCACACAGGACAAGAAATAGTGCCTGTTCCAACAAGCCAGACTATAAAACTTCATAATTCAGGAGCTTGGGGTAGAGTATTCAGAATGATCTAACCTATGTAGTGGGGGATAATTAGCCCCAGACTAGACATGACTCTGGACTCACATAACACATTTTAAAAGTAATAAAGGATTAAACTGTTTCAACTAGATTAACTAGGTCCCTGAACAAAGCTCTGGAATATTTACAGAAATACAACCATATCTAGGATGCAACAAGATTCATGATGTCTTTCATCTGGTAAAAAATTACTAAGCATGCAAAGAAGCAGGAAAACACAGCCCATAATGAGACAAATCAATCAACTGAAACCAACCTGGAACTGACACAGATGGTAGAATACTCAGACAAGGACATTAAAGCATGTATTATAATTGTATTCCACACATTCAGAAAGTTCAGTAGATACATGGAAGATAGAAAAATAAACTCAAAATCAACTTTTAGTGATAAAACTATATCTGAGCTGAAAAGTACATTGGGTGGGATTAGTGACAAACTAGGCATTGCAAATAAAAAGATTAGTGAAGTCGAAGGCATTGTAATAGAAGCTATCCAAAATGGAACACAAAGGGAAAAAAGAATTTGAAAAACTAGACAGTACATGTGTGAGCTGTGGGACAACATAACACAGCCTAATACACATGTTACTGAATACCTGAAGGAAGGGGGGACAACATAAAAACAATAAGAAGAAATTATTGCTGAAAACTTTTAATGAAAACTATATATGCACAGATCCATGGAGCTAAATAGACCCTAAACAGAAGAAATATGAAGGAAATTACACCAAGAGATATTATAATCAAAGTGTTTAAAGTCAGTAATAAGAGAAACTGTTTTTCTGAGACTGAGTTTCAATTTTGTTGCCCAGGCTGGAGTGCAATGGCGCAATCTCAGCTTATCACAACCTCGGCCTCCCAAGTTAAAGCAATTTTGCTGCCTTGGCCTCCAGAGTAGCTGGGATTACAGGCATGCGCTACCATGCCTAGCTAATTTTGTATTTTTAGTAGAGACGGGGTTTCTCCACGTTGGTCAGGCTGGTCTCGAACTCCCAACCTCAGGTGATCCGCCCACCTCAGCCTCCCAATATGCAGGGATGACAGGCATGAGCCACTGTGCCAGGCCATAAAAAAAAAAAAAAAACTTTTTAAAGCAGACAGCGGGGAAAGGCACATTTATGTAGAGGAACAAAGATAAGGTTGTCAACAAATTTGTCGTCAGAAACAATAAAGGCAAGAAGACAGTGGAGCAACATTTTTAAAGTACTGAAAGACAAAAATATCTGCCATCATAAAATTTTACACCTAGTGAAAATATTTTTCAAATATGAAGATGAAATAAAGATTTCTTCAGGCATACAAAAGCTGAAATAATTCATCACTAGAAGAATGATGAAATGTTAAAGGAAGTTTTTCAAGCAAAAGGAAATGATACCAGTTAGAAATCTGAATCTACATGAAGGGCAACATAGCAGAAACTTGTCTCTACAAAAAATACAAAAATTAGCTGGGTGTGGTGATGTGTGCCTGTAGTCCCAGCTACTCAGGAGTCTGAGGTGGAAGGATCACCTGAGCCTGGGAGTTTGAGGCTGCAGTGAGCCATGACCGTGCCACTGCACTCCAGCCTGGGTGACAGACCAAAACAGAAACAGGAATGGAAACACAGCAAAGGGGCAGGCAGAGAAAATATCTTTGGTGGTATGTCTCCAGTATTGTCCTGGAGTAATTGACTGCATTTATATACTCAACGAATAATAATAACTTTTGTACTTTTACGGAGGTATAACTGATATACAAAAAAATGCACATATTTAAAGTGTACAACTTGATTAATTTTGATACATGTTTACATGCATGAAACTATGATCACAATAATGAATATTTGTAAAATTTCCCAAAGTCTTCTCATGCTCTTCTGTAATTCATCTCTCCCTCTGCTCCTGTCCTAAGGCCATCATAGATCTGTGTTCTGTCACTATAGGTTTCTAGAATTTTATGTGAGTGGAATCATACAGTCTGTACATTTTTTGTCTGACTTCTATCACTAAGCATAATGCCTTTGAGATTCACCTGCTGATGCATGAATCAACAGTTCATTCCTTTCTATTGATGAGTAGTATTCCATTTTATGGATATACCACAATTTGTTTATCCATTTACTTGCTGATAGATATATGGGTTATTTCCAGTTTTGGAGATTATGAATAAAGTTTCAATGAACAACAACAAAAAACTGTCTATGTTAGACTGAAGAAGAAAAAACACATTCCTGTATAGTGTCTAACTTAATATTTTATACAGAGAAGATGTTAAATATATTATAATTTAACAGAAATCTACCTCATATGGTAGTTGTAAGGAAAAATAACTTGTTTGTATTATAAACACTGGATAAACACCTACAGATGATATTAAAAACATGATTAAATTTTATTTCTACATAGCTAACTGACCCAGAATATAGTCTAGCTATCTTGCTTTCAAGACCTTATATCATTAAAATAAGACCACAATTTAGCCTAGATTGCCAAATACATACCACGAGATATCACAAAGTTAGAAAGGAATGAAAGCACAGCATCTTGACCCTCTTGTCTTTGTAATCCTCTTGAGGAGAAGGCATAGGATGACAGGTCTTAGTAAAGAAAGAGGCTAAAGACAGTTTCTGCCAGAAGCCTTTTAGGTCAGTTCACTATGAGCAGTAGCATTAAGAAAACAACTGCGTTGCCCAGTATTTCGAAAACAAAAACATCATATGTCAAAAATCCATTCCAAAATGAGTACTTACAGCAGTTTTATATGCAGCTTCAATGTAAAACACAAGGTTCTGTATGAAGTTAACTTCATCCAGGCTGTGGATGATATGGAGTCCTGAGGGAAAAGGGAATAAAGATACAGAGCTGGTAAATTATCACTATAAGCTTTACAGGCAGCCATAGTGACTTAGTGACCTCACTACTCCCAAGTAATCCTATTCCTGCTTAGGAACAATGGAAGGCACTCTGATCTTAAACTACGAAAACAAGACCACAAACAAGTCCTAGGCTAGTCTCCAATGAAGTGAGATATGAGCATATTTCAACATGGAAGAATTTTAACTCTTGTTTATAGATTTTACCAAAAAGTAAAATCTGATTCTATAGGTAACTAATTTATAATATGCTTAAATGTACAAACCTAAGCATTTGGGGGAAAAAGACAAATATTTCAAAAATGAGATGGAAGGGCTCTAAATACTAAGCAAGACATAGATAAAATTATGATTTTAAGGAGGACTTAAATTGCATTTTTAAGTAAAAATGATAATTATTCTGAATGTAAGCCATACAAATACATTATAGGTTATATACAGAGTGTTTTACATGAATTATCCATTTAATTTTTACCACAACCCTAAGAGGTAAGCACCTCTATTTTCTCCATGAGGCTTAAAGGAGTTAAAAATTTGTCTACGGTCATGTAACTAACAAATAGTGGAACCAGGACCCAATTGACGATTTCAGTTTCATTTCAGAGAATGCTGAATGCAGTTTCATTAGGAGGTAAGATTCTATACTGCCTCTTCATATGTAGAATATGATCCATTTTTGCTTAAAAACTCCTCTCTTTATGCCTCCTCCCTCAAACATATAGAACTACAAAAATATATACCAGGAGGATGTTAGTTAATAGCAGTTTTCTTTAGTGGTGAGATTCAAGGTAGTTTTATTTTATCTTTTCTGGACATCTTTGCAATTTTACAGTATTCTACAAGAAACAGTTGCTACTTTTGTAATTTAAAAAGTTATATTAAAAAGCAAAATTATAATAAATCAGAAAACTGCAGGATATATTTCATAACATTTTATACAAAATTACTAAATCCTGAGCACTAAAACTTTTTATACATGTAAAATTTACTAAGCAATTAACTTTTAATATACCTCTTTTATGACAATAAATATTACTGTGTACATATTATCTAAATACTTTGTTTAGACTACTTGATTCTAAACTAAGAAATCATTTCAGAAGTTAAAAATCAGGAAGCTAATTTTTCCTTTCCAGTCTCTATGACAACCAGGAAGAAGTAGTGAACATCAGGCTAGCTGTAGAGACTAAACTTTTAAGCCTCTCATATTTTTCTGGTGGAGGTTATTCTATCTAAACAAAAATTTTTTTATCCACATTTGTCACAAAAACAGATGTGCTGGTTTAATGGAAATGAGTACATGTGCCAGCTATGCAATAGTGTTATAGTCAGAAAAAAACAAGAATTTCCATTTTGCTCGACAGTGGGCATTTCTAGAGCAATTAGATCTAGGTGAAAAAAGGTCCTTAAAAGGGCTTGAGAATAGAAAAGTACTCTCACATTCTTAGAAGCATGATGTAAAATGATTGTCAAATGTTTCTTAATGTCAGCTTTCAAATGAACTCCACTGTGAATGTCCTGAACACCCATGCCAGTTCAGAAAGAATTCTTAGAACTAACACACTCTTCATAAGTCAGCCCTTAGTAATACTCTTTCATGAAAAAAAATCAAACTGTACCAAAGGGTAACCAGTGGGTCTTCCTCCTCCTAACCAGAACATCACCTTTACCACTGTCAAATCTCTCTGGAAGAAACCTGTTTTATCAGTTTCTTCTGTATCCTTTCAGAGACATATTATGCATGTACAAACATTACACAAAGGGTAGTATTGTATATTACACTGCATTTTGCTGTTTCATATATAAATAATTTGGAGATAATTTCAAATACATTTGTCTCAATTTTTTTTTTAATGGCTACAGAACATTTCACTGAATGGCTACTCATCTAACCATTTTCCTACTGAAGGCCATTTAGGTTCTATCAAATCTTTCTTTCATCACTACAATGTTGCAATGAGTATTTGTGTAAATATATCTTTATGCATATGTGCCAGTATATCAGGGCAGATTCTTTGAATGGCCAACCCAAAGATTTATGCATATTATTTTCCAACGTTTTATTATGAACATTTTCAAACAAACAGAAAAAATGAAAGAATTTTACAAGGGACCCTGTATACTCACCCTCTGGATTCTACCATTAACATTTTAGTATACTTTGTTCATCACACATCTATCCATCTTCCTTTTTGATGCATTTCAGAGTAAGCTGCAGATATCCGTATACTTCCCTCTAAATAATTCATCATGTATATTAAATTTTGATCATCTCCAAGTTATTCTTCAAAGAAATTCTACAGTTTATATATCAACACTGACTGCCTGTTTCCCTACATCTTTGCAAACACAGGCTTTAATAAAAATTTTTAATATTTGTCTCACTTTAATGAATAACAAATAGAACCTCCTTGTAGTTTAATGTCCAGTTTTTTAATATGAGTAAGGTTGTGAGTCTTTTCATATATTTATAAGCCACCTGTATTTCGTATTTCTTTTCCTATTAACAGTTTGGTCATGTCCTTCAGATTTTCACTGAATTGCTGGTCTTCCTGACATACATATACCAGTCTTGGTGCATGAATGGTCTTGCTATACATATGTTGGTATATTTATGGTCTTGGTGTATATATATATATATATATATATATATATATATGTGTGTGTGTGTGTGTGTGTGTGTGTGTGTGTATTCATATATATGCCATCTGTATAACATTAAGCCTCATTCTCTCTCATTTTTAAAAACAACTTTATTAAGACGCATAAAAAGTATGCATAAGAAGTATATATTCAATGGTTTTTAGTGTATGCACAGTTGTACGACCATCACCATAATCAATTTTAGAACATTTTCATCGCTCCAAAAAGAAATCCTGTAACCATTAGCATTCACCATACATATATATGTATGTACCAGAAAGACCAGCAATTCAATAGAAATCAGAGGCTGAGAGAAGGCAGAGGTATGAAACTGGCCTTACTAATCTCTTAGATTTGTATCACAGCTATACTATACAAATGCCACATATTTCTACTACTTATGTCCTTTTGCTCATAATCTCCATTTAAATGGTCTTCCCCTCCTTTCCATATGTTGACATCTCATTGTTCTTTCAAAGCCCAGCTCAAATGCTATCTTCTCTGTGATGCTGTGATTGATTCCCCTCTTCTGTGGTTCACACAAACATATTGTGTGTGTGTATGTGTGTGTGTGTGTGTGTATTTGATCAGCATTAAACATTTTTTTAAAACTTTTCTTTTTTCTATTATTGATATTTTAACAAATATTAAGGAAATTAGTCTTTTGCGCATCATATGTGTTACAAGTATTTTTGCTAGTTTGTTTGAATTTTGACTTTGTTTGTAGTATTTTTTATTATCAGAAACTTTTATAAAATAGTTTTATCCCATGAATGTTTCTAAAACTTTTATGGGTTTACTTTTCACATCTAAATCTTTGATCTATTAACAGATATTTTAAATCATGGAACTGTGTAACTTTATAATTAAAAAGAACTATATGATCGGTATCATCAGACTGCAAACTCCTCCTGATCCATGGCTCTGTCAAAATAGCACCCATAGAACAGGGAAGCTGCAGAAGCAAAGTGTATTTTTTCTTGTAGCAGTAATGACATTAACTTCTTGGAAAGAGGAAGGAAAAGAGAAGAGATGATAGTGACATGGGACATCAGCTTCATAGCTTTATCTTGTCATTTTTGTGTGCCAATGTGATTGAGCAGAGGCAGAGAAGGCGAAAGTGTGAAATTGGTCTTATTCATCTCTTAGACTTGTATCACAGCTATACCATACAAATGCCACACATTTCTACCATTTATATCCCTTTGCTCATTATATTCTCCATTTAAATGGCCTTCTTCTATCCACATCTTGAAATCCTACTGTTCTTTCAAGGCTCAACTCAAACGCTATCTCCTCTGTGAGGCTATCATTGATTCTCCTCTTGTGATTCACAGGATTTTATTTTTCTCACTTTTATTCACTTATTTTTTTACTCTGTATTACAGACAAATGTGTACTTGAATTTTAAGGAAAGAACTATATCTTATTTACATCTGCATCTTCTAAAAGTATCTCATATAGCCACTAAAAGTATCTCGCATAGTATTATGAATGGTATTAAACACTATTGAACAGTAGATGTTTGAAAATTTATTAAGTGATTTTAAACACTTCTGTTAACCACAGGAAAGGGACCAGTCTCTTGAGGCAAGGTCATAAATGCAGGACCTCTGGATCCTGTCCCTCCTGTAGAACCGAGATACTGCTTGTTGAACAAAGAATGCAGAGTTGAGTACACATAAAATGAGATAGGGCTGGATTAGGCCAAAGGTAACAGCACTATATAAATCATACTAAGGCATACAGGGCTCCAGAAATTGAGCTGAATCAGTGGTCTATTGCACTTATATTTTGCACTCATCTGTATAACATTAAGCCTCTTTCTCTTATTTTTAGAAACAACATTATAGAGATAAATAAAAAGTATGCATAAGAAGTATATATTCAATGGTTTTTAGTGTATGCAGTGGTGCGACCATCACTACAATCAATTTTAGAACATTTTCATCACTCCAAAAAGAAATCCTGTACCCCTTAGCAGTCACTCCCCATTTCCCTTATATAGTTGTCCCCCAGCCTAAGTAATCACTAATCTACTTCCTGTCTCTATGATTTGCCTTAATTGACATTCACATAAATAGAATCATACAATATGTGGTCTTTTATGTCTGGGTATTTTCACTTAGCATAATATTTTCAAGGTTTGTCAGTCTTGTGGCATATATCAGTAATTCATTTTTTATTGCCCCAAATATTTCATCTTCAGAGGTAGCAGTAACATAAAAAAATGTAAAAAAAAAAAAAATTCCATTGTGCAGATGTATCATTTTATTTATCCAATTATCAGTTGATAAACATTTGGGTTCTTTTTGCT